CTCCTGGCTATGGTGGTCTGTTGCAGCCAGGGTGCTGGTCTTCTTCCTCCCTTCAGCGTTCTTCTTCGTCCAGGTCGCTAGTCTGCACAAGCTCCCAGCAGCGCTTCCACAAATTTGCGAAATGAACAACTGACCCCCCCGGCACTGTAGTCCAAGATATATAGTTGTAGTGGACTATTTCGTGCCTGCTTCAATCCGTACTGGCCTCCTTCAGCCTTTGCCTTGCCAATTGCTATTTTGGGAAATTTCCCGACCTTCTTGTGAGGCTGCTGCAAAAGTTTATTTTTGGGGACTTGACGTGCTCSTACTGGTACTGTACGGTACTGTAGCCTACCGACCTACAGTGTCTGATCCCACAGGCCCTAAGACTCTAAACAATTGGGGCCTGGACTGTGGTAACTAGGGACCCTAGAACTGGGACTGGGAAAGCTTACAGCGTGAATCCATTCATTTATCTTGGGTCTTTCATTTGTAATGTTTTTGTCTTGCTTAATTAGAATTCATGCCTATGCTAAGTGCCTCCGTGATGCCGTTAAATGTTTGATCTTCTGGTAGGTTGTCTGGCGGTGTTTCTTCCCACAGTCCGAAGACTAAGCCTTTCCCTTTGATGTTCTCGACCCTGCCCTTTGCTAGGAAGTTTGTTTCGAAATTTAGTTGGTGTTACGATCCTGGTCACTTCCAAAGTGTAAATTCACAAGGAAAGACAATGCCACCCAATTGCGAAAGAAATGAAAGCACTTGCAAAGAGATAAAGACCAAAGAAGAAGAAGAAGAAGAAGAAGAAGAAGAAGAAGATGTACACCGGCAAGACCAATGACAAATCCCCGTTCTCACTCCACCTTCCTCCGCCTCCTCCACTTCGCCAATCTTATTCTTCTTCCAATAATAGTAATAACAATATCCGAAGTTCCCTCTTACTGCTGACACAACATCAGGTCCACCATAGTCATGGCTTCCCCCTTCTTCCTCCTGTCACATGCCTAGGCTATGGCGGACTACTAAGGGCTCTGCCTCCCTGTCCAAAGGACAACCCAAAGCAGCTATGTCGCTGCCCTCCTGTCCAAAGGACAACACAAAGCAGCTACGCCGCTGCTCAATAAGCCGCCATGCCCGACTCTGCCTCGAGCTCCCTTGGTGTGGTACTACCCCAACTAGGCCCTTCCATATGCAGCGCCTAACAAGGTGATGAAGATGTGTCCACCATAGCCAGGTAGGATCCTTGCCACTCTCCTCCTTTGCCCCCTTCTTCCTCCTCCTCAGGCTGGGCTGCTCGCCAGAGCCAGGCTGAGCACTCAGGTGCTCTCCTCCTCCAGGCAGCGCTCCAAGTCCAGCGCTTGGCTCCAGCAGTGTCTCAACAATCCTTGCACACCACAAATGAGGAGGAGCTGCTTGCTCCTCCTGAAGATATAGCGGCCTACTTGCCTCTTGGGCGGTGACTTCCTAGGCCGCGCGACCTCCCAGCAACCGCTACCTCCTCCCTTTTGGAGGGAAACATCATTGCAGGCTCTGATATCGTCCGGACAGGCCCAAGACTCTGGCTACCTGGACCGGTACCGGCCTACCTCTAGCCTACCGCTACTGGGCCTCTAAAAATGCCAACTTTTGTCCTCTTCTGCCCGGCCTCCAGTACCCGACACTTCTATCACTACTTGAGCGCTACCGGCCTACCTGCTGTTTTTCCCGCTGCTCTAACTGCCACAGGCCTACCCCCGCTGAGTGTTTATCCCCGCTGCAACCCTCAAAGTCACGGCCACAGGTAAGTACCGGCCCTGCGGGGCCTTTCAACCAACAAGTACCATTGCGGGTTACACACACCCTCAGGCCGTCAAGCACTCAGACAGGCACGCAGACCAGTAGGCACGCACACACAGACTTAGAAATCACAGCAGAATGCGGGAATCTCAGCAAGGCATACATTCCAGCGGCAAATCCCAGAAATCAGCAGTGTTCTCAGTCTGTGTTTTGGCCTGTCATTACATTGGTGTTCTTTGGTCAAACCAGTGGGAGTAAGCCGCGAGTGATCTGCGCATGAAGGGATATCTGAAGAAGAAATCACTAAGGAAATTAAGCTGAGAAAGAAGAATGAACCGCAACGCCTTACTCCAGACAATGCATGAGGAAAACTTGACAAAAGTTTCACAAAACACATGTATGGAGGATAAAGAAGCAAACTACCAAGGTCCGGAGTAGACATAAGTAGAAGATGAACGCGACAATGCATGAGGGAAACTTGACAAAACACATGCGTGGAGGAAGAAGAAGCAAATTACCAAGGTCCAAAGGAGACATAAGTGGAAGAATAAGGCAAGGCAGAAAGGAAATTTGACAAAACGTAAGCACGGAGGAAAAATAAGCAAACTACCAAGATCGGAAGTAGACATAAGTAAAAGAACGACGCTAAGCATGAAGGAAACTTGACAATACACATGCATGTAGGAAGAAGAAGCAAACTACCAAGATCTGAAGTAGACACAAGGGAAATGATGAGACAAAGCATGAAGGAAACTTGATAAAACACATGCATAGAGGAAGAAGAAGCAAACTACCAACATCCGAAGTAGACACGTTGTGAGGAAACCCGGGGAGGGGCTTCTGCTGTTCGCTGAAGCCAAGGGCTACAGCGCGTCACTCGCTGCGCCCGCTTCCGAGGTCCTCAGCGACCAGCAGGGTGTCAGGGCTTGTGTTGCCTGTCAAGCCCCCTCTTAGTACTGGACTTAAAATCCCCTCTCTTTTTTTTTTTACTGTAACCAGCACCGCCTGTTCTCCTCTTCTCAAGCCTCGTATTCACTGTAACTTAGGCAGCAGAGTGCAAGTATGTACATAATTAAATAAATAGTCATGATAGCTAATTGTTTAGGCTCACCTTTGCTTTCACACCATGGTGCGTGTTTTCCTCGTCGGCATGCCTGTGACTAGTTGGGCGCTCATAGTCAATGCCAACGGTTTGATTTCAATTCATTATGACGTGTGATTGGCTGAACTGTATTGTAGAGTTCAGCAGTTGAGTTTCGTCGGCCTCAAAGAGTCAAATATACCACTTCAGGGGGCAGTCTGAGAGAACTGCGGAGAAATTTGGCATTGCCTTAATCATCAACAAAGATCAGTTCGTGGGAATGTGGAAACCTTAACGTGCTATGAGTTCGCTGCTGATAGACACAATTTGCACCTAATAGCATCACTTGCAGGTGTTGGTCCATGATCCACTGATTACCACCAGTTACCCATGTACATAGTCAATCCCATCACACTGTTGCGCGTTCAAGGGGACATGGCGATTATCGTGTGCCTCCAAAGATCATGTGGGGGGATCGACTGGCATAATGTCCATTCGTTCGTGAAACAAAGATCCGTGCGGTCACTTTGTTTGGCTTCAACTTCCCCTTCGTATGAACATTTCCAATCGTTAGTTCATCCTTCAACCCTAGAGTCATGTTCCTCAGCCGATCCC